GGGGGGGGGGGGGGGGGGGGGGGGGGGGGGGGGGGGGGGGGGGGGGAGAGACTCATACTTTGCACGCCTCGCCGTCAGACCATAGGCCACTTGAGAGGACGGAGCGGGGAAGTGAAACGTGGATTCCTTTCCGGTCTTCAGGGGACACCAAGACAGGAAAAACAAACCCAGGGTGGGGGGTGGGGTACTCTTGTTTGCATGCCTTAGCGGTGAAACCATTGACCACGCGTCCTCGAGAGGACGGAACGGGGAATACTCTCATGGGTTGGTGTGTTCGGTTGTTTTTTTTTAGTGTTTTTTTCTATATATTTTCAGTCTTGGGGACGCTGTAACACACACAACAAAAGGCAAACGCTGTGAATTCATTACCAATCTTAGACCCTTGTCAATGAATAAGATATATACATTCTTGTCTTACATCAAGAACAAAATATATATATATCACCTCTTCCAAGTGCGGTGTCTTGTTGGTATCCATGAGGGCGTCGTAGATCCCCTTCGTGAAGCGGTTCGCGATGAAGTACGAGATCATCAGGGCCACGCCCAGCGGCAGGCGGAGGTGGTTCTCCCCTGACAGCTCGAACACGATGACCGCCGTGCTCACGGCTCGCGTCACCCCGGCCGAGAACGCCGCAGACCCGATTAGGGCGAACTCCCAAGGCTTGCCGGTTTTCGATTTTTGTTTGGCCGCGAGGTGGAAGGGTTTGGGTCAGGCTACTAGACGGAGAACGAATGATACCATATGCATACTAGTAGCATCTGCCACGAGAAGGGGTGCAGGGAGGGCTGTGGGGGGGACTCGTGAAAACGTATGCCGTCGTCGTTGAACCGTGCCCACACATCCTTACAATGCCAGGAAGGAGCACTACAATGCCAGAAAGAAGCACGTCGGGTTTTACCGGACCAGGTTACAGAAGCAAGAGACTGCAGCAAGTGGATGAGGGAGTTGACGAGTTGGCCTTTCTTTCAGCCATTGGCACGACTCAAGCACGCCTGTTTCCGTCTGTGCTTATATTCATTCAATAGACGTTTCCTGCATGTGTTTGGCCTACAAGATGCAGAGAGCATCAAGAAATCCCTCCAATGTTGAACCGCCTTCGCGATGATATTATTGCTTGTCGACGAAACAGAGAGGGGGGTTTCGTATCCCAAACCCTACCCCCCAACCCGTGAAACTTGTACTAAAACCAACATTCCTCGCCAAGGCTACTGCCAAAGCTGCAATAGAAACACGCACACGTCAGTTGGACCAGTACGGGCATTTAGAAGGTACTGAGTGGAGACCGGAAAGGTTTTTATTGTGAAGACAACAACAACAACAACAACAACAACAGCAACAACAACAACAACAACAACAACAATAACAACAACAACAACAATAACAACACCTGGAACTTGATGTTGACGCTGTCGAAGCAATGGTCCACCCAGTTGGCAACCTCTCCGAAGATTCTCCCCATCAAACCACCGATCACGAAGATTGGGCTGAACAGCCCCACCTGTTCCCGCGTCGAAGGAGAAGAGAGCAGGCCAAAAACAAAACAAATTCAATTTTGTTGCGGTAAAATTAAGAACAAAATACAGGCCGGTGTAGGAAAAAAAAGAAAAGAAACAAGGAAAGCAGGTCCAGAAACACAACACAGATAAATTTGTCGCGGTAAAATTATGAACAAAATACAGGCCGGTGTAGGAAAAAGGAAAAAAGAAAAAAAACAGGAGCAGCAACAACAACAATGGCAAGCACGCCGGCGCCGTTGAAGAGGATGCGAGGTGGCGTAGCCCGGTCGAAAAGGTTTCCCGAAAAACTCATGAAGCGATTGGAATCCAGAGAAGGTAATTATCTACTCCTACTGCCAGCGTGTCAAATTGAGGGAGGGAGCTTCGTGGATTGAGGGGCTTCTTGTGAGAATGGAATTGAGGGAGGGTCGGGGGCGAAACGGCAGGGAGAGGGTTCGTGCAGCAAACATTCACGTGGTAGACGTGAAATATACATATATTCCTATATTTTCTGTTTGCATGTCATGCTCGCGCTTGGTAACCGAGAGAGTGCTTTCGTGCTTTCCCTTCTGTCCCCAAAAAATAGGACACCGACTGTAACCACCACCAATAGCATTGCCCCTAAGGCTATGCAAGCAAGGCGAACCAAACCGAAATAGGGGGGGGGGACGATAACAGGAACAAGAAAAACCACGCGCAAACACAACCATGACAACCACGCAACGTGGGAAAGGCCAACGTCCTCACCTACAACAAACACAAAAGCAGCTTTACTCCTGAAGCGATGCACCAAGCCGAAAGGAGGGGGAGGACGATAACAACGACAAGAAGAGAGCCTATACAGGTGCTTTTGTTCTTAGCACCAACTGGAATCACTGACAACTCAGTGTAAGGCTTACACAAGCTCAAAATAAGCCAATTCTCCAGTCGGTTTCAAATCCACTCACTGAAAAGACTTCGCCATATCTCGAACGGGTAGACTTTCTGTGAGGTTATGTTTACCTTCTAACAGGAACCACGCACCAACGCGACAGGAGAATGAAAACAAGTGACGTTGAAGGCCGGTCCTCACCGACAACATATGCAACAGAAGACCATTGCTCCATAAAAAGCAACGCAAGTAGGGCGAATCAAAACTGAAAAAGAAGAAAAAGAGGGAGCGACAGCAAGCAACAATGCCCCAACTAAATAGCAAACCAAAAGAATGGGGCAGCGACAAAAACAAGGACCAACCACGACCAGGAGAACTACAGCAAGTAACACGTGGATGGAACGCCACCTCACCGGCAAGGGCTGAACCACGGAGAAGATGGTCGCCCAGAACTTTAACAGCAACAGGCTGATCAGGCGCCAAGACATCCCGAACTGCCTGCGGGAGCAGTGAAACGTGTTGGCCGGGGTGGGGAGGGTACTCATAGCCTGGTCCATAGATCATGGACCTCGCATCCCTACAAAGCCGGAGCACGCCGGGTTTTCGCCGGACCAAAGGCTATCACATCACCAAGCGCCAAGTGCCGTGAGATATTCATGTTCGGCGGGAGTGGGGTTCATGTTTCGCACGCCTCAGCTGTTTGGCCTTTGATCGCGTGTCCTCGAGATGGCGGAGAATTGTACCCACAGGACCAATCGCCGATGATCAATCGTTCCGGGGTCTACACAGTAACTGTCTGATTTGTGGATCTGCCTAAACTTTGGTCTTTTATTGTCGAACCTGTGGTTTCGATGGTACATCCGGCAAACCACCCTTCGTACAGAACACGACCCAAATTTCAGTCGCGCAATTAACCTTTGGCTACAAGACCAGGCTCGATACAGCTTCATAGATCTGCCCTGCTTTGCGTCGCAGATCACCCTTGGCATATGGGCCCGCTTTCCATTTCGGTGTCCGTATGCATAGATATACATACCACAGCTGACGCTTGGTCTGTCGATCAGGGGATGGTACTTCGATCAGCCATACTTTTGGTGTCCGTATGCATGGACCTACACGGCTCTCTTCTTGATCGTAGATCTCGTAGATGATCAAGGGATCGTGATTCGGTCTGCTTAGCGTTTGGTGGTCATACGCGTAGACCTGCACAGCTCGGTCGTAGATCCCGTAGATCAAGGGGTGGGTACGTTGATCTGCCATGTTTTTCGGCGGTGCATAGGCCTACAGAGCTCACGTTTGGTCGTAGATGCTATCGATGAGGGGATGGTACTTGGACCTTCCCGTGCGGTCGACGTTACTGAAAGCCACATCCTCAGTGAAGGAGGCCGGTATCACCAACAGGGTCGCCAAGGCCACAACGACTGCGACCACCAAGGGTAGGCGGGAAGGAGGAGGTTAGGGTCTGCTGTTTCAGAGAGTCGGCAAGAAGCGGGGTCGCCACTACTACCGTGAGGGGGCGCACGAATACCAACAACAACAACAACAACAACAACAACACAACAGCAGCAGCAACGCACAATAACAACACCAACAACAACGACAAACGGTGCGTCTCATAAATGAATACAGATCTCGCGTTCGCCCGGCAAGGGCTAGAATCCAATCTGCGGGAACATACATCATCAAGCCTCCCACCACCACCCTCACCAACAACAACGACAACAACCGATGACAATCGCGACGATACTACTCTCCCGAGCCCGCTCACCGAACATCCGCTTCGTGCGGGTAGAGGGGTCGAGGTCCTTGCGAGTGAAGAAGTTACGCCTGAGAGACAGAGCGTCCAACACCGCCACGAACCAAGCGCCGACGAGCCCGCACACCGCCCCTAGTACCGCCCACGCCAGGAGATCGGTTGCCGTGAAGCCTCTGCAAGCCACGATGTGAGGGGCGGGGGGGGGCGAGGGGGTACTCATAGTCGTGTATGCCGTAGTCGTTAGAACATTAAACTCGCATCCCTACAAAGCCGGGACGGAGCACGCCGGGTTCTCACCGGACCAGGCTCTCATATCACCAAGCCCGAAGCGCCGTGAGGTATTCGGCGAGTCGCATGAAGGGTGCGCTGCATCCTGCTAAGGGTTTTCGGCATCTTGTGCTTACTTCCTTGCGTACGGATGACAGCTGCGTATTACTTAATTTACTTTATGGTGCTTNGCCGAGTTCACGTAGTGAGTTGGCTTGTTTTACAACGTCGTTGCCAAGCAACGAAACCCAATCCCGATTGCAAACACCGGGGGGGGGCAACTTGTTTTACAACGTCGTTGCCAAGCGACGAAAACCCTACCCCGATGGCAAACACCGGGGGGAGGGGGGGGGGGG